GAAACATTTAACTACTCCATTATCGTCTGAATCAGCATCATGCACGTTCATAACTGCAACAACGGTTTTTAAGGTGGAATCTTCTGGAACCGATTGAGTAGTCGACATTAAATCTATTATTGGGCTATTATCATTTACATCAGTAATATCAAAAATAATTTTACACGAGTCACTGAGTCCACCCTGATCTTTGGCTTTAATATTGAGCTGATAATGTTTCGATGTTTCATAATCTACATTTCCGATCAACCGCACTTCCCCGCTTGTCTCATGTATTTCAAATAAATCAAAAATTCCATCAATGTTATTTGATATCGAATATGTTACGAAACCATTTGTTCCTTCATCTTTATCGGTGGCTGTAACAGTAATCAGTTGAGTTCCTCTTGGAGAATTTTCCATTAAACTACTTTTGTACGTTGACTGTGTAAAAACAGGTGCGTTGTCATTGGCGTCTAATATAGTTACATGAATTTGCACTGTCCCCGAGAGCTGAGGTTCACCTCCGTCGACGGCTGTTAGTGTAAGAGTCAGCTGCTCCTCTTTCTCTCGATCAAGAGGTTTTTCCAAAACCATCTCTACCTCTTTCCCCCCATCAGTGTTGTCGTTGAGGTTCAAAGCAAAATTATCTGTTGGGTTAAGGGAGTAGCTTTTAAGCCCATTTATTCCAACGTCAGAATCCAGTGCTTTCTCTAATATAAATTTTGACCCCTTTACAGCCGACTCGCTTATTTCAAATACCATATCTTTCATTTTGAATATAGGGGCGTTGTCGTTTATATCTGTTATTTCTACAGTAACACGGTAGAACTCGATAGGATTTGCCAAAATCATTTGAAAGTGTAAAGCACAGGGAGTCGTTTGTTTGCATAAAGCCTCCCTGTCGATTCTCTCCTTGATAAGAAGCACCCCCCTTTCTTTATTCAGCTCAATGTATTCAGCGCTGTTTCCAACATGCAAGCGAGCTTTTCCCGTTTTCAACCGTTTTAGGTCCAAACCTAAATCTTGTGCTATCTTACCGACTAACGAGCCTTTTGACATTTCTTCTGGAACAGAATAGCTTACCTGCCCGAACACATAACAGAGAGAGAGCATTGAGAAAAACAGTATCACTTGCCATTTCATTGTTTCGGTCCAACGGCTTTGTAATATCATGACGAATCAAAGCAGTCGAGAAAAAGAGCTAAATTCCACACACAGCTGGAGTAAAAATGAAAAAGCCACACAATAAAGGTCGATCAAAAAAACCGACTGCTAAAATGTCCGTGTAGGCTATATTATTCTCGGAAACCTG